AAATGATTCTGAACATTGGGGAAGATTAGTGGAGTTAATAGAGCCGTTTTAGTATGAAATCAATTAATAAAACAGCTTGGAGCGTGGGGAGAATCGGTTCCCTAAGTGTAAAATTCAAATATTTCGACTGTTAAACATGGGGGAATCGGTACCCCCTTGGGGGGGAATCGGTTCCTTCCGGGCATTCTATTTTTCTCGGAGCCAGGGGGAATCATACCCCCTTGGGGGGGGGGGTGAAATCGGTTCCCTCTGGACATTCTGGAATTTTTGGCTTTGAAATGGTTCGAAATACTTTGTAAAATTATTTTGGAATAATTTTAAGATTAAAACTTAATTTTACACTTGAGTAAGGATTAAAAATGACTTTTGAAAGATTTGGAGTAATATTTTGATATTCGAATAATTATATCGAATATACTTAGAAAATATTTTTGGAAAAATCTTATAATTCATTTATCTTAATTTGTTATATCGAAATATCAAAATGTTTTCAACAATCTCCCCCTTTTTGATATAACAAAACATTTTAGTAATTTTAAGATTTTGAAATCAAGTTTTGAAATTACTCCCAAATTACTCCCCCTTACCCTAACATTTCTCCCATTTAAACACTTTAACATTTCTCCCCCTTTTTGTTAAATCAAAAAGACTTTTAAAATATTTTAAACAAGGTTTTGAAATCATTTAACCAATTTATTATAAATATATATAGCTTAAGCTGCTAAGATCACAATCAAGAGAAACGTTAGCCATTAGTTTCATAATCAATATTCATAAACAATGTGACATGGCAAAATTGGTCATATATCTAATTGATGTAAATGATGCAATAATGAATAAATTTAACCAAACCAAATATATAGAAATATAAGTTCAAACATCCATAAATTCAAACAAATTCAAAGTCAAACAATCCACAAATTCAAACATTCCAAAATATCCAAAATGTTAAAACAATAAGTTTGAAGTTTTGATCCATTAAAGATAAGCAAGAACACGGCCTAATCGTCCATCGGTGCATCAGGAGGAGATAAATGTGACCAAATATTGGTCACATCACGTGAAAGTGCATCGACCCTTTCATCCAACGAATCAAAACGACAATTCATCGTTTCGGTGGTAGCAGTCAGATTTGAATCGATAAATGCAAGCCTCAAATCAATGTTCTCCATAAAAGATCGAAAGTATGGAGGCATTTGATACTCTGGACGAGGTTGTTTCTCTATAGGTTCTTGTTCCTCGTGTTGCTCTGGCTCATTGTCGGAGTCGTTTTCTTCCGGAGGTTGATCACCGGTACGAACCCAAAGACTAGTTTTTTCATTAATCTTTCATCCCGATTTAGTTAAAGAAAATAGATTGATTTGGTTTTTGAGGGGAAAAGAAGCATCAAGACCAACTCTAAGCCCAACCTTCTTTAACAGATTACTAAGAATACAACCGTAAACTAAAGAAGAACATAATTTCTTATTGGGAACAAGATTTACGGTTTCGACAAGTTCAGAAAAAATAATATGTGGAAGGTTAATTTTGAGATTATTTTGGACACAATGAAGCCAAAATAGATCTAAGGCTCGAATAGTAGAGTAACGGCCTCCGGATGGTCGAAACCACCAAGAGAACATTAGGTGAAGAAAACGATCATGAAGGTCTATAACACTTGCACTATCCCTTCGCTTATATTGAGATCCTACCGTACGTTTTTCATTGTCTAACCCTTCATTATCTAATCTTAATGCTTTGGCAATGGATTCCGAGTCAAGATAAAAGAATCATCCTAGAAGATAGGATCAGATTCCTATGGTTAAGGTTTTCTCTCAGTTTTTAATGCAAACGACATTAGAGTAGAAGATACGAACAAGTTGATGGTAGACAATTGGTTCAAGCTCGAAGAGTTTGTCAAATTTCCACTCATAAAGAGTAGTAAGATGACGGAAATTGATGTCTAACATGGCTTGAAGAGATGGGATACGTTCTTCCTGGATTTTGTAGGACTCAAAGTATTGACAAAACCTAAAATAGATATTTTGTTTACGACCGGGTTCATTGAAACAAGAATTGCGAATGGTCATGTTTGGTTCATCGGGATTAAGAATATAAATTTGTAGGATAGGTGGATGATTTGGAGGTTAGTTTGGAGGTTGGCTAGAACGACTAGAGGAGGCCCTAGAACGTTTATGAGACATGATTTAAGATAATCGGAATGAAAAGATAACCTTCAATTTTAAAAACATATGTATGCAAAATAATCAATCCCAAAACTCAATTGAGTCCTCAATATTTCAAGGTTCTTTATACCAATCCTAATGGTCAAAGTTTGTGAAAACTATTGAAAAATAATGTTTTGAGAGTCAATATATGTATAGTTTTCATAACAACAACATAATTCAATCAAAACAAAATAATTTGAAAAACAGTTTTTTTTATTTCAAAAATTTCAAAGAACTTTGGAAAATTCTTGTGTTTTTTATGAAATTAGTTGTAAAATATAGTTTCTAATCACTAAACAATCAATGTCCGATCTAAAGTTTAACCTAGAACTAATTAAAACTAGTTTTAAAATCAAAAATTGATGAAAAAGAAGTTTTAGAAAAATACCTTGAAGATTTTCGGATTTGAGTGAGATTAGATGAAGTTTGCACGATTTTGATGATTCCAACAGTTTTAGGAGAGATTATTTGAAGAGAATTCTGATTAAAAATGATTTTTTGATGAAATATGGAGGTAAGGAGAGAGTATAGAGAGGAATGACGGCAAGAGAGAAGAGAGGGTTTGAGAGTTTAGGGGTGTTCTACCCGTGTTAAAAAAAATAGAACCCCAGGGGGGTATCGATTCCCCTACAGGGGGAATCGGTTCCCCTTCAGAGGGGGAATCGATTCCCTTTCAAGGGGGTATCGATTCCCTCTGCACCAAAACTGATAAAATCTGATTTTAAACACTCAAAATGCTAAATTAATTTTCTCTAATGGTATTGGCAACTCATATATTGAAAATTAATCATGTTCAATCAATCAAATTTATCATTAAAATTTATTTGAACATAAAGTTAATTTTCACCAAGAATCATAAACTCCCCCTAACTAAAAGTAATGAATGCAATAAAAAATACTATTATATGCATTTTTCAGTTATTCTTAAAAGTGCTAAAATTATTTTAAACACTAAGTGAAGATAGGTCAGTTAAACATAATTCTCTCCTAAGTTTCCAAAAACGTTTCTTGTCTAAAGGTTTTGTAAAGATATCCACTAATTGATGCAAAATATCAACAAATTCTAGAACAACATCTTCCTTAGTGACATAGTCTCTAATGAAGTGATGTCTTATTTCAATGTGCTTAGTTCTAAAGTGTTGGATGGGATTTTTTAGTGAGACAAATAGCACTAGTATTGTCACACTTGATATGAATGGTACCTACTTCAATTCCATAATCAAAAAAGTTGTTGTTTCATCCATAAAACATGTGCACAACAACTACCAGCTGAAATGTATTCGGCTTCAGTGGTAGATAATGCAACACAATTTTGTTTCTTTGAAAGCCAAGAAATCAGCATATTTCCAAGGAATTGGCAAGTACCGGAGGTGCTTTTCCTATCTAATTTGCATCCTACATAATCCGCATCAGAAAATGCATGCAAGCTAAAGCTAGAGTCTCTAGGATACCAAAGTCCTAAACTAGGAGTGTCCTTAAGGTATCTAAAAATTTTCTTAACATCTAGTAAATGTGATTCCTTATGGCATAATTGAAATCTAGCACATAAGTAAACACTAAACATAATGTATGGTCTACTTACAGTTAGATAAAGTAAAGATCCAATCATTGACGTATATGATTTAACATCCACACATTTACCTCCTTCATCTAAGTCAAGCTTTGTTGATGAGCTCATTGGAGTGTCATAAGGTTTCCCATTTTCCAGCCCAAACTTCTTGAGCATATTTTTGACGTACTTAGCTTGATTGATGAAGATGCCATCTTTTCTTTGCTTGATTTGGAGTCCCAAGAAAAATGAGAGCTCCCCCATCATGCTCATTTCGAATTCGCTTTGCATTAGCTTAGAAAAATCTTGGCAAAGAACATCATTAGAAGAACTAAATATTATATCATCAACATAAATTTGAACTAATAATAAATCTTTACCTTTATGCTTTAAAAACAATCTAGTGTCAACCTTCCCTTTTGAAAAACCTTTTTCAATTAAAAAGTTTGACAATCTTTCATACCAAGCTCTAGGAGCTTATTTTAAACCATAAAGTGCTTTTGTCAATTTAAGAACATGATCCGGAAATTTTGAATCTTCAAAACCTGGAGGGTGTTCCACATACACTTCTTCTTTAATAAAACCGTTTAAAAATGCAGTTTTAACATCCATTTGATATAATTTAAATTCATGAAAACATGAAAATGCTAATAACATTCTAATTGCTTCCATCCTAGCTACGGGAGCGTATGTTTCATCATAGTCTATGCCCTCTTCTTAACTATACCCTTGAACAACAAGTCTAGCCTTGTTTCTCACTATATTACCACTCTCATCAAGCTTATTCCTAAATATCCATCTAGTACCTACAGTAGATTTATTACTAGGCCTTTCAACTAATGTCCATACTTTACTTCTCTCAAATTGATTTAACTCTTCTTGTATAGCTATAATCCAATGTTCATCATTTAATGCTTCTTTAATATTCTTAGGCTCTATGCATGGGATAAATGCAACATAATTACAAATATTTCTAAGAGAAGATCGAGTTGTTACCTCTTTGGATGGATCACCTATGATTTCTCCATCCTTGACATAGTTGTACTCTCTTGGGTAAGATACTTCTCTTTCTTCAATGGTTGGATTCTCGAGAGGATCATGAGTTTCCTCATCTTTCGTTTCTTCCTTTGATGATGGTTCTCCAACGTCATGTCTAACATCATTTGTATTTATAATACCTACATCATCATTCAAGCAAGAATTCTTCCTTGGAAGGAGATTATTATCGAAAACAACATGTATAGACTCTTCTACAACTAAATTTCTTTTATTAAATACTCGATAAGCTTTAGAACTTAAGGAATAACCCAGCAAAATTCCTTCATCACTTTTAGCATCAAATTTTCCAAGATTGTCTTTATCGTTGTTTAAAACAAAACATTTACATCCAAAAGGATAAAAATAGCTAATGTTAGGCTTTTTATTTTTAAGAAGTTCATATTGAGTTTTCTTCAAAATAGACCTAATCATTACTCGATTATTAACATAACAAGCAGTATTTATGGCTTCCGCCCAAAAATATTTTGGAAAATTATTTTCACAAAGCATGGTTCTAGCCATTTCTTCTAAAGTTCGATTTTTCCTTTCAATAACTCCATTTTGTTGAGGGGTTATAAGTGCTGAAAAATTATGACTAATACCATTAGAATTACAAAATTCAGTAAATACAAGATTTTCAAATTCAGTTCCATGATCACTCTTAACACTAGTTATAGAGTAACCTTTTTCGTTTTGGATTAATTTTGAAAACGTGATGAATTTTTCTAATGCTTCATCTTTAGTACTTAAGAATAGAACACAAGTATATCTAGAATAGTTATCTACCAAGACAAATGCATATTGTTTTTCACGCAAGCTAGTAGTTCTAGATGGTCCAAAAAGATCTAAATGGATCAATTGCAATACTCTACTAGTTGATACATCATTAATGGATTTAAAAGAAACTCGCTTTTGTTTTCCTTTAGCACAAGCATAACAGATTTTGTCATTATCAAATTTTAGTTTAGGCAGTCCTCGAACCAAATCACCTTGAATTCACCGTTGTAAAACACTCATACTAGCATGACCTAGTCTCCTATGCCATAACCAACTATCATGATCATCCTTAGAAACTAGGCATAAATTAGTCATATCTATAGAGTCTAAATGCACCATGTAAATGTTTCCTATTCTATGACAAACAAGCATAATCCGATTAGATGCAATGTCAATGACTTACAACCATTAGTTTCAAACATGACATTGAATCCCTTATCACAAAATTGACTAATGCTCAAAAGATTATGCTTTAATCCATTCACATATAAAACATTTCTAATTTGTATGGAAGAGGTATTACCTATTGTACCTATACCTTCGATGTAACCTTTTGAATTATCACCAAAAGTCATTTCTCCTCCATTTTTGGCGTTAAGCTCTATGAACCGGCTTTTGTATCCGGTCGTGTGTCTCGAGCATCCACTATCAAGGTACCATGAATTTGAATTTGTTTCCCGTGCCTTGTAGCAATGCTCCTTTTCCTACAAACATAGATTAATTTTTAATTTTTGGTACCCAAATTCTTTTGGGTCCATATTCATTATTTTCCAAAATCCTAGTCCCCTTAGGTATCCATTTGTGTAGGATATCCTTATCTTTAGTAGTAATGAGCTCTTTTGGAACCCATATACTTCTAACAATTTTTCCATTAGAGGTTCTTCGGGGACTCTATGATTGTAGTTTTTAAAACTTTTTCTAACAAAGTTGGATTTTGAATTTTCTCCATTTTCAAAACGTTTTGTTCCAATTTTATCAAAAGAGATCATCAATTTTCTTTTGATGATCATCATTGACCTTTGAAAGTAAATTTTGCAAATCGAAAATTTTCTTTTCAAACTCTTCTAGTTTGATTTGCAAATCTTTGATTTTACTTTCAAGATCGTTGTTGGTTTTGGATATGAGTTTATTTTCATTTTTTTAATTTTGAATCATCATTTTTATATTTAAAAAACAATTTCTCATAATCCGAAGCCAACCCATTATATTCCTTTAATAGCTCATCATAAGATAAATCATCAAAATCAGATGAGTTAGAGGTTACCTTAGAATCTTCCCCGAATGCCATCAAGCACAAGTTTGCTACTTCTTGTTCCTCTTCATCAGAACCTTCTTCATCGCTCCATGTAGCCACATGAGCCTTGTGCTTATTCTTTGATTGACCATTTCTCTTCAATTGTGGGCAATCATATTTGACATGCCCCGGTTTTTTGCATTCATAACAAATGATCGGGTCTTTCTCTTTTGGTTCATTTTTGAGGCCTTCATTTCGTTTTAATTTTCTTCCTCGGTAAGGTCTCATCATTTTTCTGAACCGTTTGGCAAACAATGCCATTTCCTCGTTATCGTCATCTACATCCGAATCACTCTCATCTTTTATGGATTTGAGAGAAACTCCAATGTTTTTCTTCTTCTCATTCTCCTTTGGTGTCTCTTCAATCTTATCGAGGTCCACCTCATCTTCAAGCATCATTTCATGAGTGAGGAGAGAACCGATTAGCTCTTCAAGAGTTAAGGACTTTAGGTTCTTAGCCTCGATGATTACCGTCTTCTTGGATTGCCATGATTTTGGAAGTGAGTAAAATAACTTCCTCACAAGCTTCTCGTTAGGAATGATCTCTCTATATGATTTGAGACCATTGAAAATAGTTGAGAATCTATCCGTCATAGCTTTGATATCTTCATTTGGTTTCATCCTGAAATTTTCATAGCTATGTGTTAGAAGACTAATTTTAGATTCTTTTACCTCATCGGTGCCTTCATGAGTGACTTGTAGTTTATCCCATATTTCTTTGGCGGTTGTACAAAATGAAACTCTTCCATATTCATCTGGTCCAAGAGCACAAAATATGATATGGATAGCTTTGGAGTTGAGCTGGAACATTCTTGTCTCTCCTCCACTCCACAATCTTGGATGCATGAGAGGTTTGATATATCCGTCTTCTACAACATTCCATGCTCCCATGTCACTGGCTTGAATGAAATACATCATCCTATTCTTCCAATAGGCATAGTTAGCTCCATTGAAGAAAAAAGGCTTGTTGACGGGAATCGAATCGAGACCAGAGTCGACGTTTGAAGTGGAGGCCATTGATGACTTTAATTATCGATGTAACTCTTCCCGGATCTACTCAAGAGGTGGTTAAACCTTCAAATGAGTCAAGTTCTAATACCAATTGTTGATTTAATCGATCTATGAATATGGCCAAGAGAGGGTGAATTGGCAAATAAAAATTCCGGTGGAAGCTTGTGCAGAAAATTGAAAGTAATTGCGCAGCGATTTAGAATGGTTCGACTTTCTCAACCAAAGTCTACATCCACTACCTTAGCTATCCACACTAAGGATTTTCCACAAATTCACTAATTTGTCTTTCTTTTGAGGACAAAGAGTAACCTTACAAATCCCTCAAGAATTATACCCCAAATTCTTAAGAACACTCTCTCCAAAAGAGAACAATACAAATTTTGCAAATTTACAAGAAAATCCTCACAAGGCAAGATGTTTGCACAATTCTAGAACAAAGAAAGAACACTTAAGAATAATACTGTAACCCCTTCAAACCGATAAGGGTAATCATATCCGATCCGAGGTGTCACATTTGGGCCACCGGAGCGACCCACTATAAAAATAGCGGAAAATTTAAAACTTTTATTGAAACGTGTAACTTATAAAATCAGTTGTCACTATTTAAAAATAAAACAGATTTCCAGAGTCGTATATAAATCAAAATACAATTACATGCCCCCTAATCACATGTACTGTACTATGTAACAACGCCGGTAGAACTCCCTTACTGGAGCTGATAGATGCACTGGTACAATTCTTTTAACCTGAAAAGGTGAGTAATAGAGTGAGCTTTGGAAAGCTCAGTAATACAGAACTACCAGATGATGCTGATGAACGTGCAGATACAGATAAATATATATTTCCTTATTGGTTCAGATATTTACAGATCTTTATGTTGAGCGGAGGTCCATTGATATCGCATGTAGTAACAAATAGTATTCATTTCAGATGAAAATATTTTGGATGTCTAGGTTCAGGAGATCAGAACAGGTTTTCTAGTGTGTTCCCAAAAATCATGTAACTTTTCAGATCTTTTTAAAATATATATATATATATATATATATATATATATACCCCCATCCGTCAAGTCCAAAATGTGTAGGTTCCCCAGAACCATACACCCACCATCAAGTCCAGTAAGCCCTGAGCACACAGCCGAGGAACCTCCAGGTATACTTCCTCCAACATTACCCCTCCAAATAAAACATGTTTCATCCGTAAACGGATATATCAAAAATCAAAACATAATCCAGGTCAAATATCAGATCAAAATCCAGGTCAAGTATCAGATCAAAATTCAGGTCAAGTATTCGATCAGAATCCAGGTCAAGTATCTGATCAGAATCCAGGTCAGGTATTATAATAGAAATCAAATCGAAAATCAGGTAAAATATCCAGGTGATTAGGAAACACACCAGAGTTTACAAAAATTATTCAGAGGTACTGGATAATCTTAGCAGGTAGAGAAACATAAATCTTCAGTATACCGATAGGATATCGAAATTTAGCATCATTATAGGAAGAGTTCAATAACTAACAAAATCATCAGTTATTGAGAATATGAATTGGCTGATAAGGAATAAATGAAGATTAGGACGTTTACAGTCTATATCGATTGATTTCATTTATCAAACAACTTCAGATGAATATCTACCAGAATTAATGCTTATCGACTGGTCAATTCATTGTCATTGCAGGGTATTTACATTTTCATACCACAAATTCTAGTCCATATATAATCCTCGGAATCATCGCAGAATAAATCTTCCAATGTCATTATTTCATGTTCACGCTTCCACTATATCATGAAATGCTGACGTGCTTGATTTGTAGTTCAAGATCCATAAGAACATTACATCATGTATGTTCATTAACGTTTCCAGACTCATCCAAATCACTACTTAATCCTTAGTCCTTGAGGTTACTTAGTTCATTTAGCATTCAAGCCCATTTCAGATATTTCGGGGTTTTCCAAGGTAATTCAAACGTTTTTGAATTTTGGATACATATTGTACTTCCGTTCAATTCAATTTGGTCTTCGTGGTTGATTTGTCTAACAAATATCAAATTCTTACTGTTGAATGCGATCTAGAGTTGAGCTGAGCTGAATACTTCCAAAATTATCATCGAGCCAAACTTAAGAATACAAACAC